GTCTAAAACGTAAAGTTTCGACAAACCAGTTGTCCATTAAAGACTTTTTTGGTAAAAAGAAGTAACTTTGAAAGAGAAACATTGTTTTTTTTTTAATTTTTAATGCTTTCCCGCATTCATCGTTTTTATTTCCCACCCCCACCGAAAACGATGCATCGAGGTTTCACTGTATCTCTTTCTTATAAACAATTTTGCAACTGTACAGTGAAATAGCTGCATCTCGGAAACCATTCGGAATAGGACACATGTACGTACAGACTTTATTTGCTTAGAATGATACTAATACCTCCCAGAATATTGACCTTTCCTCCTGGGACACTCTGTATAGTGCAGCTTTGAACTCGGTGTGTGGGGGGCAGAGTACATGGCCATTCTATGCTGGACAGTTGAGTTATCAGGCTCTGTTAGATGAATGATAGAAATTGAGCTAGAAGCTGTGTAAACTAACAAAGCTGCCATCAGGAAAGTAGTAATTGTAACAGTCTGTGGGTTAAATCCATCTTTACAAATACAAGGCAAAGAATGTAAATGAAAGCTGAAAAAGCTCATCTTGTAGTGGGGTAAATATGTTTTTCATGGGGGGGTCTTTCCATACTTATGTTTGTTTTCTGGCCTGTTAACTCTGAATATGGATTTTGTTGTAATTCTACAGAAAGGACTCTGCAAATATTCAGGTTTCCAAACACTGATAATCTTATACTCTGCCTTCAATGTTCTTCAGTATTTTCAAGTGTTGTGCATTAACTGGACTAAACACTAAATGCGTAATGGAAAGGCTACTGTCTATCTGTTTCATCTCTGGAGCTATTCAATAGCTTCTTTAGCTAAATTTGATATTGGTAGTCTACACTAAAACTTGTTGGGGAAGTTAATTTTAGTCCATATTATACATCATGTGTGCTTTTAATCACCAAAAACTGACTGTATAGTTGTGGTGTAATCAAGACCATTGTCATAAACCATTCTGGGTAAATTAACATCCTTCATATGTTTATTTTATTTGTTATTAGGTTCTTCTACTATTGCTGTGTGTTGGTCAGCTGATGGCACAGTGCAGAGGAGACAAAGGCAGAATTTTGTAAGCATTGCGCATGCAGGCCCCTGAGTGCTGTCTTGTTCTTTTAAGGTAAATGATTGTACATAATATGAAATGAGAATCTAATATTAAAACAGAAAAGGATTCCAAATTTTGAATGTCTGTGTTTCCATGTGTATGATTTAAAGGTAATAAAATTTATTTATATATATATATATAATTTATATATAGATATGTTTAAGTGACTAACAATTTATGTCTCTTGCTAAAAGTTATATTTTGACAAATTGTACTAACAACACTTTATTTTTTAAGGTAAATGCAATTTATTTAATGTGTAGCCTCATAAATCAAGGTCTGATTTTTACTTGACAGTTTTGTACACAAAAAGAACACCTGTATATATCTGTATAGTTAAATTTCTTTCATATGAAACTACTATTTACGTCAAAATGGTGAGAAATTCATTTTAAACAGAAATTTTACTCTACTTAAAATATTCCACATCCAGTTCTTGTACCATGCAATTTTGTAAATTTTCAATTTTTTTGGAACATCTCAACAAGAGATGCATGCCAGTCCCGGTGAATGCCACATCCTGTCTCTACCGGAGTCGGTCTCCATCTCACCCAGTTACTGCCTTCCTCGATGTCTGCACCAACCCACCTCTGCAGCACTCTGGTCTCTGCAGGTCCACGTCTG